AGTTAACCTGGCTAGAGGTTTTTCAGTTTTATTGATATTTTTGAAGAATCAACTTTTAGTTTTGTTGATTTTCTATTTTAAATTTAATTGATTTCTTCTCTAATTCCTACTGTTTTTTTTCCTGTGCTTACTTTGGATTTAATTTATTCTTCTTTTTGTCGTTCCTGAGGTGATAGCTTAGATTACTGATGTTAGATATTTCTTCTTTTTAAATATATGCTTTTTAAAAAATTTACTTATTTGTCAGAGAGAGAGAGAGAGAGAGAGAGCACAAGCAGGAGGAGTGGCAGGCAGAGGGAGAAGCAGGCTCCCCACTGAGCAGGGAGCCCGATGTGGGACTCGATCCCAGGACACTGGGATCATGACCTGCGCCAAAGGCAGGCGCTTAACCAACTGAGCCACCCAGGCGTCCCTTAAATATATGCTTTTAATGCCATAAATTTCTCCTGAGCACTACTTTTGCTGCACCCCACAAATTTCAATAAGTTTATTCATTTAGTCAGAAATATTTTAGAAATTTCTCTTTCAAAAAAGATTTCTCTTAAGACTACAGTTGACCTTTGAACAACACAGGTTTGAACTGTGTTGGTTCACTTCTACACAGATTTTTTTTTTTTTATAAATACAGAACAGTACTATAAATGTATTTTCTCTTCCTTATGATTTCCTTTTTTTAAAATTTTAATTCCAATATAGTTAACATATAGTGTTATATTAGTTTTAGGTGTACAATATAGTGACTCAGCAATTCTATACATTCTCAGTGCTCATCATGATAAGTGTACTCTTAATCCCCTTCACCTATTTCATCCTCCCGCACCCACCTCCCCTCTGGTAACCATCAGTTTATTCTCTGTAGTTAAGAGTCTGTTTTTTGGTTTGTCTCTTTTTTTCCCCCTTTGTTCGTTTGTTTTGTTTCTTAAATTCCACATATGAGCGAGATCATATGGTATTTGTCTTTCTCTGACTGGCTTATTTCACTTCACATTATACCTTCTAGATCCATCCATATTGTTGCAAATGGCAAGATTTCATTCTTTTTTATGACTGAATAATATTACATTGTATCTATAAACCACCTGTTCTTTATCCACTAATCTATCATTGTGTACTTGGGCTGCTTCCATAATTTGGCTTTTGTAAATAATGCTGTAATAAACATAGCGGTACATATATCTTTTTGAGTTAGTGTTTTTGTATTCTTTGAGTAAATACCCAGTAGTGGGATTACTGGGTCCTATAATATTTCTATCTTTAATTTTTTGAGGAACCTCCATACTATTTTCCACAGTGGCTGCACTAGTTTGCATTTCTACCAAGAGCACAGGAGGGTTCCTTTTTCTCTAGATCCTCGCCAACATTTGTTTCTTTTGTTTTTAATTTTAGCCATTCTGACAGGTATGTGGTGATGGCTCATAGTGGTTTTGATTTGCATTTTCCTGATGATGAGTGACATTGAGCATCTTTTCGTGGGTCTGTTGGCCACTCCGTATGTCTTTTGAGAAATGTCTGTTCATGTCTTCTGTCCATTTTTAATTGGATGATTTGTTTTTTGGTGTTGTGTAAGTTCTTTGTATATTTTGGATACTGACCCTTTATCGGATATGTCCTTTGCAAATATCTTCTCCCATTCAGGAGGTTGCCTTTAGTTTCCTTATGATTTTCATAATAACATTTTCTCTCCTGTAGCTTATTGTAAGAATGCAGTATATAATAAATATAACATATGCAATATGTGTTAATGGACGGTTTATGTAATTGGTAAGGCTTCTGGCTATCAGTAGGCTATTAGTAGTTAAATTTGGGGGAGTCAAGAGTTATACGCAGATATTTGACTGCATAGGGGTCAGTGCCCCTAAGCCCCACATTGTTCAAGGGTCAACTGTATTTCATTACTCACGTGTTTATTTAGAAGTACATTATTTAATCTCCAATTATTTTAGGTTTTTCCAGCTATCATTCTGCTATTGATTTCTAGTTTAATTCCATTTTGGTCTGAGAGGATACTTTGTATGATTCCTATTCTTTTAAATTTATTAAGATGTGTTTTATGGCCTAGAATGTAGTCTGTTTGGGTGAATTTTTCATGTGTGCGTGAGAAGAATGTGTATTTTTCTGTTTTTGGAAAAATATCAATTTGATCCAGTTGACTGAAGGTGCTGTTCAGTTCAACTATGTCCTTTCTGATTTTCTGCCTGCTGGATCTGTCCATTACTGATAGAGGGTATTGAAGTCTCCAACTATAATTGTGAATTCATCTGTTTCTCTTGGTAGTTCTGTCTATTAATGGAGTAGTGTAAGGACATGAAATCACTTCTACCTTTCAAAACTATGGTATGAGGAACTTTAAGCAGAGATAATAATAGGGTAACCTTAGACTAAGAATGAATATATTTGAATATCTTGTAAACTCATGTATGTCAGATTCCTAAATATTCAGTGTTCATTTTTTTGTTAATATGCTCTTCTCAAACATAGATACCATCACATTTACCTTACTTCATAGTCTTTTGTCAAAGTAGTTTGGCATTTCAATCAATTTAATGGATACCTAAGATTATTGTTGTTTTTAAAGTACTTGCCAGTTTTTTGAAATAACTCTTGTATTTAGTTCCTCTTAGTGCCTTTACTGGAAGCTCTCATCCATTTCCTTGAACCAGAAGAATCCCATTGCTATAAAGTTGTTAGGTTTATTAGTGCATCATTTTGATATTTAACCAGCCTCAACAGGACCAAAACAATTACTTTTATAGGTACTTTTCAGTTTAAAAAGTGCTTTCTCTTCTTATTTAATTCCAACACCCAGCCAGAAAGTTATTATTATATTTCTTTCATGCTAAAATGCAAATTTTTCATATCATAATACCTCTGAAATGAGAATGTATTTTACACTAAATGACATGTTATCATTTAATTGGCAGAATTTTTTTTTCTTTTCTAGTTGGTACAAGAAGTAAAGGCTTATTTTACTAATCTAGAGTCTTAGATTCAACCAAATACTGTATTACTATTATTATTATAGTACCAATTTGCAGATGAAGAAACTGAAGCTCGGAGGACTAAATGACATGCCCAGAGTCACACAGCTGGTACATGGTTAAGCTGGGAATGGCTTTTGGTATCAAGGGCTCATTTTCTTCCAGTGTGTCAACGGTTCTTGAGCTTTAATGTTACAAGAATTATCTGTGGAAATACACGGGCACCCAACCCGCTAGTATATGTGCTGCTGTAGCGAGCATGGCACCCATCCTCTAGAAATTTAGATTCATTATGTTTAGGGCACGGCTTAGGAATATGCATTTCTTAGATGCATCAAGGTGCACTTTTAAGTATCATCTCAAACTTTGACTTGCTGTTAGAAGCTCCAGTTGGTACATTGCTATTAATAGCATCGCCCTTCAAGTGTTTATTATTGATGAGGATAAAGTTCCTTAGTGTCACTAATAAGAAGTCTAGGATTGCACTACCATCAGGGAAAGGAAAACAGAACTCAAAGAAGTCTAGGAAGCCCCAGAACAAAGTTACGTGGGGGCGTAATCCCATAAAGGTGTCTTGGCAGACATCACTAATCTATCACGGAGACTGGCCACAAGTGTTTTCAATACTGAGCTTTGGGCCTCAACTTTCAGTCAAGCCTATCTGCTACGCCCTGCTGTGGGTCTTTTGAACAGTGTATGTGAATTTAAAGGGAATAAACTTTCCATCTTTTTTTTTCTACAGTTGACTCTTCATAAATGTCACAGAGAGCTGCTTTTGCGTTTTGTTTTGCTTTGCTCTATACTGCGGTTGTCTAGGGTGTGAGCTGGTTGCTTGGGGAGGGCTCCTTCCTCTTTGCATAGAGCTCTTTGATAGAGCTTTTGTTGATGTGTCTGACATTACTGCAGCCTGCCTGGTGAACAATAGCACACCCTTGGTTGCCTCTGCATGATTTTGTGTGCTCAGCTTTTACATTAATATCATGTAAAGCTTGAAATAAGATTTTAGTCAGGTGCATAAAATTTGAGTGCTTTCTTCTGGGTTTTCACACATTGCAAATCTTATTCTACTTATTATTAATTAGCTTGGGAATTGGTTTGCTCTTTAATACAGCAAATAGCTCCCTGAAGTTAAGGAAGTGTTAATTTGGGTACTCCAGGGTAGACAAGTCTTCATTTTTTCCCCTTAATTTATCACATTTTTGTTTCATCCAGAAAATGATTTCATATCATAATTTCTAACTTACCTCTTATATGAAACTTCTACATACAGGACAGTTGTGTTCTCACATTACTAATATCTCATTACACTTATTTTCCAGGCTCCATTTTTTTTGCATTTACTTTTATTCAACTTGGTGCTTTTATTAATTAAGGGATAATTTTGTAGTTACCGATTTATTATTCACAGTAAATTTCAGGTGATAGAAATAAAACCCATAGATATCGTTATTTTGGCTGCAAAACAAATCCAGATACTGAAGTGGTAACCTTAAAAAAGTAAGCCTAATTTCTGTGTTGTTTTTCAGAGTTACTCAGCACTGGCTTATTTGGAAAATACATCACCATTGTCAGCCTTAGCTTCTTGGAGGCCTTGGGGTTGGGAGAGTCAACCTTACCTTAAAGGCTTTTGGAATCTTAAAATTTTCCATTTGAGTCATCTGACCATAAATAATAATACAGCATTCTTGAATTAATACAAATGATTGGCCATAGAAATTATCTGAGTGTGTGGAAATAGTTTTAAAACTTGAGTCTTCGTTTAGGGGTGCCTGGGTGGCTCAGTCGTTAAGCATCTGCCTTCAGCTCAGGTCATGATCCTAGGGTTGTGAGATTGAGCCCCGCATTGGGCTCTCTGCTCCACGGGAAGCCCGCTTCTCCCTCCCCCACTCCCCCTGCTTGTATTACCTCTCTCACTGTCTCTCTCAATGTCAAATAAATAAATAAAATCCTAAAAAAACAAAAAACAAAAAACAAAAAAAACCAACTCGAATCTTCGTTTAACTTCCATACTTCTTTCCATAGGCCATTTTGCAACCTGTGTTGGCAGCAGAAGATTTTACTATCTTTAAAGCAATGATGGTCCAGAAAAACATTGAAATGCAGCTGCAAGCCATTCGAATAATTCAAGAGAGAAATGGTAAAATGTTGAATTTAGAAATCTAATGGTTTTTTGTTTTGTTTTGTTTTATTTTAGTTTTGACTGTTCTGATTCTATTATGGTATTAAATGTAGCTGCTTTGTACAAATGTATTTCAGGTTTGTTGACTGAAGAGATTCAACAATGTAAACTTTCCTGATCAGTTTGTGTTGGCTGTCTCAAAGAAAGCAGACCAGAATTTGATTTAATGATGTTTTAGGTTGATTTTTCTTCCGAGCCATTTTATTTATGAAATTCAGTATTTTTGAATTGTCACAGTTTTAGTTACTGTTGAGAGAAGGTGACTTGTCTTTTCCTTCTGGCTTATCATTGTTAGGACCTTTGTAGGAGACAGGGGCTCTCCAGCGTTAGTGAGCTTTGGAAGTAGTCGGAGGGCTGTTGAAACACGTATGGTTGTTTCTCTCTTCTATTCAGCAGGTCTGGGGTGGGACCGAATGCTTTGCATTTTTAACAAGTTCCCAGGTGATGCTGCTGGTCCTGGGACCAAACTGAGAACTGTTCTAGGGTGATGGGCAGGTATGATTGCACTACCATCAGGAAAAGGAAAACAGAACTCAAAGCCCTAGTAGTTCTCTTTAGTTAATCTGTTTCCTGACTCTCTTGTCTAATTTCAGTTTGTCCCTAGATCTTCCTGCTTTTGTTCCCTTCTTGTGTATTTGAATTGCATTTGACATCTTGACTCAACACATCTGAGTTTCTAACCATACTTCTTATTGTACTATCTCCTTTTCAGTCCAGATTCAATCCAGATTCTTACCTCCTTTCAGATTTCTGGCTCTAGTAACCTACCTTAATACTTATGTGTTCCTTTGCTCAATTAACTGCACTGATAATCTTGACCATACCTATATACTCTTTAAAGGTTTGGCAGCAGGACCTTTTTAAAAATTGTTTCTTGAAGATGTGAGAGCTATAGTTCAGTTGTACTGTTTGCTTTTAAGGGTCTGGAACATGCAACAAGAGGCTTCTGTTGTTGCAGGGCAAACATTGCAGTGTTGCAGGGCCCTTGTGGATTCTCCTCTCATTAGTATGATGAGAGTAGAGACTGTCTCTTAGAGCCCAACCACCACCATAACCATCCTGTAAAATCCTAGGATGCTTTTCACAGTAGGTGAGAGAGCTGATGTCTCTGAGTAGGAGATAACATCACCCTAACCCTGAACGATGGATGATACTGTGCTGTTACTTTGGTGTAAACAAGTTTGGAAAACAGTCTATTTGTCTTTCTACCATAGTATACTTTATAAAATCCTTTTCTCTAAATGTTCCTGAAATTATGCTTTATTCTGACCTATGGGTTAGAGGATGTGAATAATTATTTTATGCTATAGTTAAAATTGTTTTGGGGGGATTAAAGCATAACTAGTGAACTTGATATTGGCACTCCATATAGTTTTCATTTGGAATTTAACTGGAAACTCATTTAGATTTTAATATAAAGGGAACAAATACATATAGGGCTTGTATCAGCTGGATGCCTCAGGCTGTCATTAGCAGAAAAAACCTCAATGAAAATGTCCTAAGCAGTAAGAAACGATCCTCTCACAGAACAAGAAGTCCAGAGGAAGGAAGGAAGGAAGACAGTCCATGTTGGTTAAGTTAGTGATTCATTGATATTATCAAGAGCGCAGACACTTTTCATCTTTATACTCTGCTATTCTCAGGGTCTTCTCTCCTGATTGCACTCTAGCTGCATTGGCTGAGACTCAACAACGTCTCCTGAAGAAAAGGGGTATTTCTTCCTGTACATCTCTTTTTGTTAGCAAGACAAAACTTGCTTGGAAGCCCCCAGGAGCTTCCCTCTCAGGTCCTATTGGTCAGGATGGGGGTCACATGTTTTTCTTAAACCCTCTGGCAGGGGAAATGAGACCATTATCATGAATCACTCTCCTGTGGTGGGGTAGGGCTCAGCCTCTGAATACTTGGCTGCCTGATAATTAAACAAATCTGGCTTACATTAGCAAGGGAGGTTGAGGCAATGATGCGGAATAGAGCTGGTATCAAACCACTGGGTGGGACTGTTGGCTTACATTTAAATAAAATCTAATAGTTTGTGCCATAGCATTTTTAATACGTGCATTTAAGAATGTTGCTTAACTTAGATCCAGGAGTTAGTACCTGAGAGCAATGTTGATTGTACTCAAAACCACAGACCATTTGAAAATTGTCTTTGTGCTAAGAAAAATTCAAAGGCTCTCTGGATTCTTTGTTGTATTTTATCAAAGAATTTTTGGGAAATGCAAATCAGAGCATTATTTTGATGGTTTTGAAGTATTGCATATTGTTGCATCATTCTTTCCTTAGTTCTTTTCATTTTCCTCAGAAATACTATCAGAGAATACTAATTGTATATCTTTTGACTGGAAAAAGTGCAAAAATGCACTTGATAGATGTCAGTTTTCTGGTTGTGATACCATACTATATTTTGCAAGATGTTACCATTGGGGGAAAACTGAATAAAGGGTGCATGCATAGCATCTCTCTGTATTATTTCTTACAACGGCATGTGAATCTGCAATTATCGCAAAATAAAAAGTTTAATTAAAAAAGGTATTTAAACATCAAGGGGATTAGAATAATAAAGGTACTTTAATTTAGAGCAGATCCAAAATCCCATAGTCATCTGTGGATAAAGAAATGGAAGGTAAAAATTAAGAGACATGCTGCTGATGTTGTGGGAATATACTAATTATAGATACGAATAGAACACTGATTACCAGTCTACCTGCTTCTTAGGAAGATGTAGGTAATAAAGTAAATTCAACCAATACTTAAAATTACTTGCCATGAATTATTATTTGCTTTGGGCTGAAGTTGGTATTGCCTTGGTTTATAGTTATTGGCCCAATATCTGGATAGAAGCTCCAAGGGCAGATTGTTTTATTCATCTTTATGTTCCCCCCGAGTACTTAGCACCGTGCTTTTTCCCATATAGTAAGCAGGGCCCTTTTCAGTAGCATTTGCTGTAGTATGAATGAAGAGTATTAACATGCTGTTTAAATTAACAAAGTATTTTATATTTTGTTTTGTAATCTCTTTTCACACTTAAGGGATACTTCTGAGAGCATACTTTTTTTTTTTAAAATTTTATTTATTTATTTGACAGAGAGAGACACAGCAAGAGAGGGAACACAAGCAGGGGGAGTGGGAGAGGGAGAAGCAGGCTTCCCACTGAGCAGGGAGCCCGATGCGGGGCTCGATCTCAGGACCCTGGGATCATGACCTGAGCCGAAGGCAGACGCTTAACGACTGAGCCACCCAGGCGCCCCTGAGAGCATACTTTCATTATTAGGAGCTTAATGATTTCAGTGGTCTATCCTCAGTATATGATTAAGGGAGGTGATAGTTTATATTAACTAATTTTAATTGCTATACTATGGTTATTTTTAATGGGTAATACAAATAATTACTAACAGAATTTGTAGGTAAAACTGTGGGGTTTGGGTGGGGCTGATTCTTTAAAACAAGAAAAAGTAAAAAGACCATAATTAGCAAGATAATAGCTTAGAACATTTAAGTGAAAGCCATTAACAAACTGATTTGTACTTCTTGATGAGTTAGAATAGCGAGCAATAAATGTTTTCAGCTGAGTTCATATTCTTTTGTGTGGTCTTTGATTTTTGAACAGGTGTATTACCTGACTGCCTAACAGATGGTTCTGATATGGTCAGTGACCTTGAACAGGAAGAGATGAAAATCCTGAGGGAAGTTCTTAGGTATCCTTCTTTAATTATCTTTTGAATGAATCATTAGTAATATTGTGACATGATCTGTATATGTTTTCTACCCTCAAAATATTATGAATTAGTGAAAAATAACTAAATTCTCTACTGAAAACAATAAAAATGATTTGTCATTGTATTTGTTTATAACTATGTATAACATTTTTTAATGGACACAAAAAATGATTTTCAAGTGCCTCCTACCATATCAACCTAAATGGGAGGGGCTTCGTCCCCTTCCATCATGGGAACAGGAAACCAGCCAGTAGACCCAGCCTGGTGAGCAAGATACTCCATGGCTTCTGGACCTTGGTATTAGAGGTGGCTCATTCCAGGTGTGTCTGACAGCAGGAGGCTGGACATTCACACTCCAAGGACCAAATAGCTGACAGGGTGGCAGGTAACCTGTAAGGGAAAAGTGGACAGTGGGAAGTGCCCATCCCAGATGACTGTCTTGCCGGTCCCTTCCTTGCCCCAGTTACATGATTCTCAGCCAAATGCCTGGCATGGAGTGTGCAGGCCACTAAAGGAACATTTCTTTTTTTCCCTTGGGCCTGTTGTCTCTTGACCCCTCTGGGAATTTCGGAAGGGAGCAGCAATTGCAGTGCCTTATTTTTAAATCTCCTTTGAGAATGTATAGGGTTAGGGCAGAAGGATACTTGCAGCCACTGTGTCACCTGCAGAATGGGGACTTGTCCTTTGGGAGCCCTTCCCTTCTCTTCAACTCTAACCATACACATGATCGTCTTCTAGCATCCTGTAGTTCTACCACTATCCACCTTGTCCTCAACTCCAAAGCAGAAGCGAGGACAGGGAAGGATGGTGATTAGGAGGATGGGTCTAGTGGGGGACTGTGGCAAGAGCTCCATGACTTAGTACTTAATTCCAGGGGATTTGAGTGGTTTGTGGGGAGGGAGGCAGGTGTGCTGGTAAACCCAACCTCTTCCGGCCAGATCCTGTTTTGCACAGCAGGGGCAGATGGGAGCCTGAGACAACACAGAATGCTTTGAGTTTATAGGTGTGAAGAGTTAAGGATATTGTTAATAGGTTTAGAAGACTGGTAGTTTTGACTTGAACTGGTTGCTTCTGTTGGTTGATTAGTGGTCTGAAAATTAATCAGCCTTGTACTTTTAGATTTTATTTTTAAGGGCTTTTGAGGGGAATGTACTCTTTAAAGTAGTAGAGCTTAGTTAATGAATGAGAGTTGACTTGGCTGTTTTCCTAAATCAGAGGCCCTCAGTGAGCAGTTTACAACAACTGATAGGGCTTTGGCATAGTGATACCAGGAGAGCTTTGAGATCGCTCTGGTGGCACTGGAAAAACTAAAATGAGGGGAGAGATGGAGCTTATCACTTTAAAGTGAGAGATGAGATTTGCCATTCGTATTTGGGTTTAGGATTTCAAATCTGTAGGTCTTTGTTCAGCTAGGGGTCATTCCCATTTCCAGAAGAAATGGGTGAACCTGTAGTTTATGTTACTATATTATGCTGTATATGCCTATTATGTGTGTCTTTGTTGATTCTAAGCTGCTTTAAGAAAAGCCTGATTCTTTCCATCTTGGTTTCCAAGATTCCTTGCACATATTGTGAGCTTAGTTTGGCATTTGTTAGTTGGATATTTGTTCTTTGACCAAAAAAGAAAATTTACTTTTCTACCTTATTTTTGTATATTTCAGAAAATCAAAAGAGGAATATGACCAGGAGGAAGAAAGGAAGAGTAAAAAGCAGGTGCCCACAGAACATATTAATATAACAGAAGTATTTCATTGTTGTTATCCTTTTTTTTTTGAGATTTTATTTATTTATTGACAGAGACACAGCGAGAGAGGGAACAGAAGCAGGGGGAGTGGGAGAGGGAGAAGCAGGCTTCCCGCTGAGCAGGGAGCCCGATGCGGAGCTCAATCCCACAACCCTGGAATCATGACCTGAGCTGAAGGCAGACACCCAACCATCTAAGCCACCCAAGTTCCCTTATCCTTTGTTTTTTAAGTAAACTTGCCCAATGTGGGGCTCAAACTCATGACCCTAAGACCAAGAGTCACATGCTCTACTGACTGAGCAGCCAGGTGCCCAAAATCATTGCTGTTATCTCTTAAGTTTACCCCTAGGATTTGCTGCTTATGTAGAACTACACAGTTCCTCAGAGTATCATATTCTCTTGGCAATTCTAAGCATTTATATGTGACTTTATAACCATATTCACTTTATAACCCATGCAGCAACCTACCTTTTAAGTACCCCAAAACACTGAGATTAACTACAAAAAACTGTAATATCATTCATATTATGCGGGGTTCCTTATAAAAGTTCCCCTTAATTTTATGAATAAGAGACAATTAAGAATAATATTTTACTTTCTCCCTCCCTTTGATTCCTTTACTGTTTTGAAACAGCAACTGCAGTTACTCTTGAGGGTCCTCTGCAGACTTTAATGTTATCAGCCTGAAGCAGAATGAGTCAGTTATGGTATTCCCTGGCATACTGTTCTTCCATTAAGAACTATTTCCATAAAGTGCCTAATCTTTCCTAAGGATAAATTAAACATGTATCCGGCTGAGGTGAAGGAAGCTAATAATTATTCTTTCCTCTCCTCTGCTCTAGCTGCCTCTCTTCCTGTGTTTTCCCAAATCTCTCTGAAGGGAAAGGGAAACAATATAAACTGTCTCTCAATCACTCAAAAGTCGTTTTCCTTTTTTTCCTTCAATCACTATGATACATACTTGTATCATGCACTGTTTTTGAAGAGCCTTATTTTACTGCAAGGTACCCCATGAAGAGCAGAAGAAATAGAGATGTTTTAGGATTAAGAGGTGATTTATGTATCTTTAAGTAAATCTCCTTTTAGGAAATGGAGGTGCATTTCATAGATGCTGCTATTTTTTAATGTAAGAGTATAGAACAGGGGCGCCTGGGTGGCTCAGTCGGTTAAGTGTCTGCCTTCGGCTCAGGTCATGGTCCCAGGGTCCTGGGATCGAGTCACGCCCGCGTCGGGCTCCCTGCTCAGTGGGGAGCCTGCTTCTCCCTCTCCCTCTGCCTGCCACTCCCTCTGCTTGTGCTCTCTCTCTCTCTGACAAATAAATAAATAAAACCTTTTAAGAGTATGGAATAGAAAGCAGCTCAAAACTGCTATCAGAAGACATTAGTATTAACTCTCTGATTTATAAGCAAACTATATTTGGCTTCTTGAATAATACTATATTTTAGGGGCTATATGTATGGGTTTTTATTATAGAAATTTTCAGACACACAAGAGTAGAGCTGATAGTATGATAATGAATCTTCCTATGTCTTTTACCCAGCATATAGGGGCTTATGACATGAGTTACCTAATAAGCTACATGTGATTAGATTTTCCTCTGTTTTTAAGAAAAACAAATTATCAGTTTAGTTTTTTCCAAGATTTAAATGATTTATTTGGTTTAAATATACTATCCCATTTTAGAAATGGGAATAAACCCATTTGTGGCTTCTTCAGGCATACCATGGTAGTGGTATATAGATTATTTTAAGTGGAAAAGCACCTTATAATTCAGAGGATTTCTTTCTCTTATTAGAGTATTTTTGGTGTCTTCCTCAAGGTCAGATGAGTAGTAAAGGTGAAGCCTGGGTGTGAACCTAACTTCTTGCTAAGTCCAAAGTCCTAAACATACTAGTTAGTTAGTTATTCTTAGCAGTGCATGATTTGAAATGAGAATGTTTATCTACCTCAAAAAGTAAAAGATATAAAATGCTGGAAACATCTTAAAAACTTTGGAAAATCTCTTGTTCATTATTTATTTAGTAGACAATACTTTTTTTTATTTTTTATTTTTTATTTTTATTTTTTTTTAAAGATTTTATTTATTTATTTGAGAGAGAGAGAATGAGAGATAGAGAGCATGAGAGGGAAGAGGGTCAGAGGGAGAAGCAGACTCCCTGCTGAGCAGGGAGCCCGATGTGGGACTCGATCCCGGGACTCCAGGATCATGACCTGAGCCGAAGGCAGTCGCTTAACCAACTGAGCCACCCAGGCGCCCGACAATACTTTTTTTTAAAGTAACGTCTTTGGATCCCTTAAATAGTGAATCAGTCAAAATTAATCTAAAATTTTTTTTTAATTGTATTATGGATTCCTGAAGTTAGCAGAGGCTAAAACAGAAGAGCCTCCAGTGCATGCTAATGAAACTGCAAACATGAAGAATTCCCAAGGAGATGGTGAACATTTTGCACACCCACCCTCAGGTACTGAACTTTCTCTAACAAGATAGATAGATAAACATCATAAAGAGTGTGTACTTTCTCATACCTACTTAACCTTCAAAACCCCTGGGAGGCAGTGTTGAATGGCCATTGATCTTTAAAATTCTTTTTTAATTTAGCTATGGAGGTTGCAGGTGGGAAATACTCAGCTAACAGAGAGGGTGTAGTTCCCAGATTTCTAAGTGAAGCCTGGAACCCAGCGCAGCAAGTGAAATTTCCTTGAGGGAGCCGCCAAGGCTCACAGCCTCCAAGATATGCTCACGTCGCATTTGTGTTCTCTTCCTTGACCACAGTTATATAGTGTTTGTGAGTTAGAAGCGGAACTTGGAAAGGTAATATTAAGTTATTTTCCTAATGAATTAAAGCATAACTAGGAAACAAAAAGTAGCCAGTTTATCCAGATGTTTAGTCGGGAAATATTGAAACTAAAATTGATGAGAATCCTTGTGGAAAACGTTAGTGGATGAATTTGTACAATATATGGCAAGTTCATTTTTAATATATTCTGATTTTCTTTATAAGAAAACAAGTAACTCTGAAACAGAACTTGAGTCATGATCATGAATTCAGTTCATTTTATCATGCATTTCTCTGGTTTTAAATAAATGTCCTTTTCTCATTTAAAAAAAAGCCACACAACTGTGAGGTAGATATGATCTTTATTTTTATGTTTATTATTTTTGTTTTAGAAGAAATTCAAGGAAGTTGAGTGACTTGTCTAAAACCAGTGAGCTTTTAAGTGGTAAAACTGTAACATACTTGGTCTTCTGCCTCCAAAATCTTGTGTTCTTTTGCACTTTAGAAGAATTTTTATAATTGCGATAAGATGGGTTTGATGTTTACCCATTTATTTTAAGGAACTGTACTCTTAGTTGATAAAACAATGGGGCATATGAAACAGAAGGAGGTTTATGAAATTACCTTGCTTCTTTCTTCCTAGCAAATTTAACCATTGTTCTTTTTTCATAATCAGATTCTAGGTAGAATAACTTCATCGGAATTATATTTATGAAAGCACCTGCTTTAGATTTGTCTGAACTCTTTTTTAATTTGCTGGCCCAGATTTAGCTTTCTGTTTTGTACAGACCTAAGTACACGCGTTTCAGTCTTGTGTCTGACATAATTTGAATACATTTGCTTTGTCTAGTTCCTTATCTGACTATTAAGTGAAGTTAAACTTAATCTCAAAGCACATATAACTCAGATATGCACATAAGTGGCACAGAACAAATGGCAGATAATTTCTAAAGTAATGACTTTAGTTTTCAAAAACTATTCTATTTTTTAAAAATGAGTGTATCTAATATTCCAGGAAATCATTTCATGCACAGTGATGGAAGTCCACTTTGAAGACCTAATTTGGGAAGAATCAAAAAGGAGTCTGACTTCCTTTTTAATTCCTTTTTTTTTTCATGTTTTTCCTTGGTTCCTGCTAGAAATGGATGGCATCTGTTCTCAGACTGATGCAAAGAGTTGCCAGAGATAAGATGATCTTTCTTTAAGCTTCCTGGTTTTCTAATTCTGTATTCCTAGATATCAGAGAAGCTAAGTATTTTGGTTTCAAGTACTTTCCTCTCTAGGTGTGAGTTAGAACATACAAGATGTTCATAACTAACAAACTCCAGGCAAGAACTATCCAGAACATGTACATGAATGGAATATAAATGCTTATGTGCCTAGGATCCCCCTCCTCAGAAATGAATGGAATTGTCCCTTCTTCAGCCGTGTGCTTCCATATCTGGGGGGCTAAGCCTACCTCTGTGTAAAGTCACCATCAGTAAGAATGGCATGTTTAACTCTTGTTTGCAGCAACCAACTTGCTTGAGCGTTGTTTTTATTTCTAAGTTCTGTAGCTCCCTGTCTAGGCTGGTTGGAGGTTAGCTACAGCCTCATCTTTTCTATAGAGACTTTCCTTACTGTCCAAGAGCCTGAAGAGCATTTCTTCTTCCAGCCTCCCTGGCACTGCCAACAGGACACTTACTCCATGCTAAAGCAGTGGTCCTTTGGCAAGTTTTTTGCTCATGCAGAGTTTTATTTCCGGTTTTACTGTGCTATCAAAATTTTTAAACATTTTGAGACATGTATATCATGTTCGCCCATCCTGCTTTTAGTTCTTGCTATTGTTTTTATCTGAGTCTTTTCTTGTCTCACTCTGCTGTCTTTCATAGTTCATGTACTTACCCTGAAAATGTTTTATCTTAAAAAAAAATCACCTTGTCTTATAATAAAAAATGGCTCAGAAGAGCAATTAGCATGTTAATCTTGTCTCTTAGCACAGTCACCAAAGAACTGGAAAATATTGAGTGCTCTGTTATATCTGCTTCTAAGTTCTACTTAACTTTAAAATCTTTACATTTTCTTACAGTGTTAGTAGGTTTATTCAAGTTACCTTCAGTATGTATTACAAACAAAAATTATTGATATTATTGGCATTTACTTGTCTGGTACAAAAAATTGTAGCTTTAACTTCACTGTTCTGAAAATATAGGGTCATTTACAGTTTCTTCTGTAAGTTAAAGTTTGACAACGAATTACACTACCAGTAAGGGGTTTTAGTGTCCTGTTTATTTAGTTTATGTGGCAACCTTGTGTTACAGTGTAGTGTAGTTCTACTCTTTAGACAAGAATTAGACTTCTTGTAGCTGTAGTGTCAAACAGCAGGAGCTTGGTATTTGTTGAAATGTCATTATTCATGAGTAGCAGTATTTCAAGCTCCCTGAGGACAGAGACCATGTTTATTGTTCTTACCCAGTGCTTGAGACAATATAGACATTGAATCAGTGTGTGTTGATTGAAAATGAGGGGGGAAAAAAAAGACAGAAAAAAAACACTAGGCATTTTCGTGAACCAACCTAATGCTTAATATTTCTTATAATATTCTAATTGGTCTCTAATTACTGCCAGAAGTTAAAGTGCATTTTGCTAATCAGTTGGTACAACCTTTGGCAAGAAAGCTGGAAACGCTGCCTGAAACTTCCTCCTTCCCACAAAAAGGCCTGAAGACTCCTGGCTTAGAACATGCAAGCATTGAAGGACCAATAGCAGTAAGTGAAAAACATTACTTTTTAAGAACTATGAACAAAATGACAAAGTGCTAGGAACAAACAATGTAAAAAGGCATACACTTGGCTTTTGTTATTACGAATTTTGAGTTGAAGCACCCCAGTGGTTATCTGTGCCGCTTATTATGTGGACTTGAATTTAAATAGTTCCTTCTCTTTTTTGGCTCAGAATTTATCAACACTTGGAACAGAGGAGCTCCGACTACGAGAGCGCTACCTCAAGCAGAAGAGAGATAGATTGATGTCCATGAGAAAGGATATGAGGACTAAGCGGATACAAAATTCCGAGCAGAAAGGAAAACCTGCTGGGGAGGTGGAGGTATGGCTAGCTTTAGTGTGTCAAACTTTGCAAATCTAGAGGTGGAATTGTCACAATCAGAATGTGTGCAAGACAGCCTTGATAATGAACGTTGCTTGTAGATGCAGTCCTATTACCCTCCCTGCTAGCGTAGCACCTGGTTAGTTTTTTCTAGGCAGTGAGGTAGTTATGATATGAAGATTTTGTGAGGTTGAAATGATAGCGATCTCATTATACATTTTTTTCTTTACTTGACCTGCTCTGAGTGCTTAAGGGTCAGCAGTCTATTTTACCTAAGCCCTTTGAAATATTTTACCCACAAAGCAGCAACAGTACCCTTGCCACCAGCTCCAAGAGGCTTTCTTCCCTAAGAAGAGATTTTTGCCAAGAAGAGATTTACAGAGCCCAGTCCACATGTGGTTTTTTACATTTTTATTTACTGAAAATGCTCTTTGAGGCAGTATGTTGGGAATTTTAGACAAATGAACCCATCTTACACTATAGCCAATTTTTTTCCTGTTTTTTTGTTTTGTTTTGTTTTGTTTTTTTAAGGAAATGACAGAGAAACCAGAAATGACAGCAGAGGAGAAGCAAACATTACTAAAGAGGAGATTGCTTGCAGAGAAACTTAAAGAAGAAGTTATTAATAAGTAATTTTAAAACGATTTAGCAAAACAAGTTCAAATTTTCTTAAAAATAAATTATTTAATCCTTAAACTGAGCCTGTTAGTTTCAAATACTTGTGTTTGTAAATGCAAATATAAGCTCATTCTTAATACTTTATTAAACTTTTGAGGTAAAGGGTGGTGGGGAAGACAGCTACTTGGGCTGAGAAAGAAGGTATAGAAACGTGATCGTGCATTTATTCATACCAACTTGGTTACTATTGTTTATGCTAAGCACTGTAGTACCAAGGATACAGTTGTCAACTGGATCATCAGGGTCGCTGTCTTCAAGGGGCTAGTGAAGAAGGCCCTAAGAGCCAAATGTACAAAGGGAAAAATGCAGTATTAGAAGCAGGGTTGGCCAAGCCTTCTTGAGAAAGCCATGCTTATTAAGCTGATTGGAAGGCTAGTTGCAGGGAGAAATGGGAAGGACCAACTCAGGTCCTACCAGAGGAAAGGCAGCTAGTGAGGAGTGGGCAATGTGGTGTGTATACACACAACAAGGGCAGAAGGCTGGCTATGAAATTGGAGATAGGTGGGGTACTGATTTGCAGGGCCCTGTAGGGAATGTGAGGATTTTAAATTTTATTATGGCAGTGGGAAGTCACTGCAAAGTTTTAAAGCAGGGAAGTTACATTATCAAAATGTTCAGCTAAAAAAAAAAATGTGTGGCTGCTGTACGGAGATGGGGTGAGTTAGAGTTGTGGGTATACCAAGCATAAGGAAATCCAACCAGAAGACCAGTTATCCTAGGCAGAAGCAAACAGCACTTGGAAAATGGATGAGGGATGTTAAAAATACTCAATTACTCTTCCTAGAAAAGCTACCATTAAAAAGATAAAGGGAACAGTCGACTCCTGAGGGGAACGCAGCCATGGTGTAGGCCTTTTTTTATGTGAAATGGTCCTGGATGGTTTTCTGTGGTTGTTTGCTTACAGATCGGGAGAAAAGATCCCACGTCCAGACCAGAATAGTAGGAGAGACCCTTCTTTCAGAAAACTTCCTGTATTGTGTCTTCCAGCAAGCACCCCCTTTTCTAGTTACAGGTTGCTCCTGAGGCTTAATTTATAATTCCATTTTATCTCTTTAAATCTACGGTTACAAACTTTTAAAAAAGGGATACCAAAATTTTAGTTCGTCTTCAACCTGCAGAGAAAAACCATCATTACATGTGTTACATTTTCATCACTTAGATGGACAAGAGGAAAAACTAGTGATTAAAACACAGAAATCTGTTTCATGTAACTTTTTATTAAAAATAGTTTTTATAGTGGATACATGTTTACAGATATAATTTTAAGAGAACCTCAGGCATACAAATGTGGGCTCTGGCTTGGTTCACTGAGTGATGATAGAGATAGAAAAATCCTGATCTGCCTGAGGGTAGTCATTAAGACAGCAGCTAACATGTGGAAACTTAATAGTTATTCTTTCAAGGGATATTTTAAGCCCTGTTTTTATATCATTGTGGGTGAGCATATGTACCATGAAAACTGTTATCCTGTAAGTCAACAAAACACATTTCTGCGGTAAGAAAGGTTCCTAGATGATGATGATTTAAATGTTTGACTCCTGGCAATTCTTCAGAAAGGAAAATTAAACTCTTCATAAGGTATAAAGATAATACTTCCTACTGGAACTTTAAAATTACTTCAGGAAGAGTCAAGAGTAAATAGGGAAATGCTTTGGGCCTGGGCTTCTTAGATGACAAGAAGAAATTAAGAGCTAAGAAGAGTGGAAGGGGCTTCACAGACTTGCTTGAAAAAAACTGTATTCAGATGGTAACTTTACTGATCTTAGTTTAAATTAGGGTATTCTGAGGCACTTGCCTTATAAAGTGGAAGGTCTTTTTCATTATATGTACTTTTAATCAAAGAGGTGAGACTAGCCCCATGCTGTGATGTATTGATGTTGAGACTTCATTTGCCCAAGGCACACCTTCTGTAAGTACAATCAGTAATTCTTAAAGTGCAGTCAACCTTCGTTTGTTTATTATTACTTCATTCCGACTGGTGTAGGACTTAGTGGTTTATAATAAATATCTAAGGATAATTTATTGGCTTTTAAAAGATACTATAAAATGGACAAATCTCAAAATGGAGTTAACTTATATTTACAACAAACCAAACAAAAGCAACAATCATAGAATTACAGGGTCACATTTTAATTCCTGAATTTTACAGTTCAGCATTAATATCACCACATGTATACAAATGGTGTAAAACAAGTACAGTGGTATTTTTAATACAAAATAAACATCTGTTTTATGGAAAAACTATACTTCATATCTACACAGACAGCCCATCTTTTCCAAACAATAGCCAAAATTAAAATTAACTACAAAATCTCCAAAACAGGGGAAACTGCTTTAGTTTAAGCTATTCCAGGAAAAATGGACCCATAACACATTACAAGGGTGATCTGAAGATTGTAGCTGGAATTCCTGTTTTTAGTTTTTTTTTTCCCAATGCATTAAATTGTAGTTTGGGGGATGTTTTTCTCACTTCAGCATGATCTCAGATCATAGATGAGCAAACAAACATTAAAAATATTTACAGTTAACTTGCTGTTCTAAAAATAAAACCTCTTAACTGTTTGCCTCAACTTATTTTAAATTCATTTACGGACATGGAATGTGCTTTTACTCTTTAAAAAAAGCAGCTTTCATATTAACACCCTTGTTTGTTTATGGAAAAACTTCATGTGCTGCATACTGACTTTGATACTGAAGTAACTTCTTGGATCAAAATGGCCTCTAGATATTAAATGCCACTTAATTCAGCACTAGTCTTTGTATGTGAGTCTTTATAAATTATACTTTAAAACTTGCTTGCAGCTCTAGAGAGAGAGACAACTTTATGAACAAAGCAGAAAGTGACTTCAAAGTATCTTGCATAAAAGATTGTATGTACTACTGGGAGACACTTGGAAACATTCTGTTCAATCCACTCCCAAGTTTCTAGAGAAAATCATTTCAAAATACTAATGTACTGATTCTTGGCATCAGTTATCTCTAAGAGTGCTGTAAAGTTATATTAACAAGACTGTCCATTTTGAATCCAGCTTGTTTGTTTTCATCAAAATACATACTGAAAATTTCTGGTGTAGAAAACTCAACATGTACTGTAACACAAAATGTACTTCCCTCCAACTACCTATAAGGCTGAATTTCTGTTAAATCTCAAAAAATGGTCCCAAAAGCATAACTTCATTTTTATGAGTTAAATTTGGTTTTCATAAAAAATTTTTTTAAAAAGAGGCAACTGATTAAAAGAACAACATGGCCAGCACCATTATACAAGTAATGTTATTGGGTTTGTAACTAAAGTTTTGTAATTGTTTCTAGATCAGATACCCCCTGGAGCAACCCTGCATTTAATATTGTTTTATCAACCTTGTTCCCTCCCCCAAGCCATCCCCAAACCTGAGAGTCTCCTCATGAAGAAGCTATCGCCCAGGTTCTGGTTAATAACTTTTTTTTTTTTTTGACAGCCTGAAAGGCAAACCCCTTAATTACTAGCAAGCAGTCACGTTCCTGGGAAGCCTGGTTTTTTACAGAACTAAACTCTCCTAGCTGATAAACTGAGTATCTTTTGCTACTCCTCGTATATTTGTAAGTTCAAGTGAGAAAGCTTTCTGATTCAGATTTTCAGCTCATTGAACAGTTGCAGCATTTTAGTAAGACCACGCATTGAGGGTCCTCACTAAATATTTTATGAGCCAAGACGAGGTCTTTTCCTGGGAGATGTTTCTTCTTCTTCGTCTTCCTCTTCATCATCTGGATAATCCACTAAACCGACCAAACTTCCCTGTTGAAGAAGAATAAGAATTTTTTAACATATGTAACTTAAGGGGAAAAAAAACTTATTAGTATCAATAGTCACTTTTAAAGACATCACAAATAACTTTTCTAAACTATCTAATCATATATATCTCAAATATATTTGAATTTGATAAAGGAACTAACTGCGTGAAAATTATGAACACTTGGTACCACTGGTGGTACTCTAAGTTACCCTCAACTTTTCTATTTAGCTCTTGGATTTTTAATGATACCTCACAATTTAATTCAATTCAGCAAAATTTCACTGTGGAAAAATGTCAGGACGCACAAATCACCATGATACGGGGAGCTGGAAGGACTGTGGAAATGAACTAGTTCATTTCTCTATGTTTAAACTAGAGAGAGTAGTCAGTCAGCAACAAGAAGCCTCCTTTTGTCTCCATACTTCATGTATGTATTTCATTACTAAGTGCATACCACTGTTTTCATTATGCTCTTGATAATAATAAACAAATGAAATACTTCCTAAAACTGACAACTAAAAAATTTAGGGCTACCTCTCTAACTAAAAGGAAAGTAAGGATGAGGTAATTCAGGTGTTCGGCCCTTTATGAGTCATGGACCCCTTTAAAAACCTATTAAGGCCCTGGACACTACCCAGGAAATTAAATGTCGTCAGGTTTGCACTCATTTTGAATCCATCCCATGAAGTTTATACATACGATGCCACAGGTTAAGAGCGCTACTGTAAACACTGGATTTAGTTCAAACCCTTCAGACCTCAAGGGGGAAAAACAAATACAACTGAAATCACTCATATTTCAAAGTTAAGTAGCTTCATATCTAAAGAACCCAGACATCTGGCAGTAACACTTGGCCAATATATAACTGAACCACTGTAATATCAACAAAGGCCACTGAGCAACTAGAAACCGTTATCAGAAAGTCTGGGAGTTAAATTAAACTTATTTATACCACATATACTCATGTGAGAATCCTGCTTTCTCAGCTTAATAACACACAAGTCTTAAGTTTGATAAGAGGCAGTATGGCTAAACTGGTAAGAATGTATTGATTGTAGTCTGCCTAACTTCAAACTGCAATGTCACAATTTTTTAAGTGTATGTCGGTGGGCTAGTGATTTAGTATAGCTATGCCTCATTTTCCTTATCTTAAAATTGGTATAATAGTACTTAGATCTCAGTGAACTATTTTGAAAATAAAATGAAAACATAAAAAGCACCTGGCACAGTCCTTGGTAAGTAGTTAGTGTTCAATAATTGCTATTAACTGCTACTACAATATCATTCTTATTCATTTGGTTTCTAAGCCAAACAAGTTAGATGGGAGGAGATAGAAGATGTAATTACCTTCTAAAAAGGCACCACCAGTCTGATATTCACAAAGATGACAAATTATCAAGGAAAGTTTTAATCATGTTTAGGATTACAGATTATATATCACAATGTACAAACATTTCAGTTTCCAATGGGTAACATTTAAAATGCCTTTTGCTTAAGATTAATAAATATTCTATCTGAAACACACAGCTACACAACTTAATATCAATTTTATCTCTATTATCCATACATATATGCCATAAACTATATGTTAAAACAATCATTTTTACTGAGAATAAAAATATAAAATGTGAAATATTAGAAAAGGCCTGTAATCCAGAGATGCACTCCATAAAGAATTTGACAGATTCAAGACCTAATATAATATACTTGTTTTAAAATAAGTATCAGATTGCAATTAGACCACTTATGCCAATTACTCTTGAGAAAAGTTTCCAATATGAAGGAAGGGATGAAAATGAATGATAACAATAACAAACACCTATGAATACACAATGACATTTTTTCTAAATCAAACAAACCAATGAACAAATTGTGTTAGGAATCTATTAATATAATTAATATTAAAAAAAGTAAGAAGAGAGAATTCAAGAATTATCCTCTACTCAAAAAATAAAGGACAGAGGCACCTGGGTGGCTCAGTCGGTTAAGCGTCTGCCTTCAGCTCAGGTCATGATCCCAGGGTCCTGGGATCGAGTCTTTTACTGGGTTCCCTGTTCGGTGAGGAGTCTGCTTCTCTCTCTCTCTCTCTCTCTCCCTCTACCCTTCCACCCCTGCTTGTTCTCTCTCTCTCAAATAAATAAAATCATGAAAAAAATATAAAGGACAGATCTTCCATAAACATGATTAATAAAATTTTTAAAAATCATAAGCAAAAGTGATGGTTTTTATATCTTCTAATTTTTATAGCTTTAATTTCTTTATCTCACCTAACTGCATTGGCTACGACCCCAGAACAATGGTTAAATAATAGCAATCATAGTGGTATCCTACCTTGTTCCCAACTTTGGTGGGAACGCTTCTAATATGTCCATAAGTATTAAGCTAGCTTTTGGTACTGGCCATATATACCATGTTAAGGAACTATCCACATATTTCCATTTTGCTGAGTAAATTCAATAACTAATCAAAACTGTAAATGCATATTCTATATAGAAACAGACATGTATATGAAATATTTTGTGTAGAAAGTCACATACAATTGTTTTAACTACAAAAAGCTGGAAACAACTTTAAAATGCATTAACAGGGTTAGTTATAAATTAAAGTGTATCATACTTTGGAATCCTATGGAGAAGTTCTTTTATGTTCTAATATGGAAAGCTCACCCAGATAAGTTTGTTAAGTGAAAAAGCAAGATTCCGTGTTCTCTTCTGTTAATCTGTGGCAAAAGAAGTGCTCGTTTTAGCACCCACTAATGGTTTCTGATTATGATTCTGTATTTTTCTTTCCTTTTTTGGGTAAGTATACTTCTTTAAGGAAAATGTGGTTTTTATAGCTCTATAAGTTAAAAAAAAAAAATCTTTTTAATTTCATTAGTAGCTAATGTCTCACCAGCCTTGAAAACTACCAAGTTTGCCAAGAATGCAATTTTTAAAAGCATATTAGGGCTTTAGAAGCCTTGCCAAGGAAAACAGACAAGTTCACACCTGATCTGTTTAATTTTAAGAACCAATCAATTGGACTGTGGCACTCAACAGATAGTAAATTTCAAACTTTTGTCATAATCTAGAGTGATGAGCAATTTATTTTCCAAGAGCAATCACTGTTTTCTCCTTGTCCCCCCAAAAAGATGTAGTACAAATGTATTTAGTAATCTGCTGTTAGTGTCAAGGATGAAAAATGTGTTAGTGCTTGAACCTGCTTTTGTTGTTTTAAGTAAAAAATTATCTGAAAGGATAATGAATTAAGAACTATAAGAAATAACCCAGAAAATAGAACGAGTAAAAAAAAAAAAAAAAAGTAACAGGAGAGAGAAATTATGAAAATTATAAGATCAATACAGAGGGCCCAACATCAGAACAATAAGTTACAGCAAAATAATATAAAATGTTTCCAAACTGAAGGACATGACTGTTTAGCTGCTCCCAAGAAAATAAAAACTCACACACAAAGGATCAGAAATAAGAATGTCTTTGGATTTCTTGGAAACAATAACTTTTAAAAGTTAAGTTTTAAAAGAAAATGATTTCCGATTTGGTTCTACATTCAGTTAAACTGGCAGTCAAGTAGGATGGAATCAACAGTTTCATAGAGGCAGGGGCTCAAATTTTACCTCTCCTGGGATTCTTTTCTCAGAAAACAATTATTAGAGGATGTGCACCAAAATGGGAGGGAAAATCAAGAAAGAGTATAGAGACATAAGACCCAGAAGCAATACAAGAAAGAGGCAAAAGAAGTATTAGGATAATGGCCTCAGCAACCTCAAGATAAGAGCTGTGAGCAAGTCTAGAGAGCAACGGATCTAGGTCGGAACCAGACTGGAGACGTCAAGAGAACGCAGAAACTAACCTGAAAGGCACTGAAAGAATTAGTGAAAGGCACCTAACTACTGCAACAAATGAAAAAATGGCGGCAATTGTTTACTCTAAAAAGAGAAAAGTTATTAAGAAACATACAGTATCGAAAAAAAGACCAGGAAAAAAGTGGTGAATAAAGAATATTTATATTGTCACTATAGCTATAAAATTATCAAAGGTTACTTTAAACAAAAATTGTGATACAGGGAGAAATAAGGGTGAGGATGTGGTAAGGAGTGTTCACATGTTAAATTCTTATCTACCATAACAAGAATTTAATAAATTAGGTCTAAACTTGAGAGAACAATATGAAGTATTAATATATTATTTAGAAACAGAAGAAACAGGTACAAGAAGAGTTCTAACTATCTCTGTGGAGAAGAAAAAAGGACTGATTTTTCTCAACATTTTAATACTATTTTGACTTTTGAAAGTAAGCGCATGTATTGCTTTAAAAAAAGAAAAGCTAGTATATACTGAGAAGGTGCAAATAGTGTTCTAAGCTCTACATGATTTAATATTTATAAGCCTATAGAGTAGGTGCTTTTTTATCTTTAATTAAAATGAAAAAATTAAGGTCCTGAGAGATATAGTAACTTACTCAAGGTCAAATAGCCTAGGAAGAGGCAGAGCCAAGATCTGAACCTGAACAATTTAACTTCACAGCAAATAGTCTTAATATAGTGCCATAAATATTATACCAAATTGTCCTATCAAAAAGTGAAAATTAATTTTAAAATTTCTAGTTAAAAAATATGTTTCAAAAGCAGTAGAATCTCACTGAAAATGCTACTTCTGTGATCACTTCTGTGATCTTTAGTCAAGAGCCTACCTCAATGCAACACTGAATAAAGACCACGTTTTTGTAAAACAATAAACTCAAATTGTATCATGTGTTCAAACCGAGAAGCATCCCTTCAGATTAGGTTTTCTACTACTTTTGCATTTCGGTCTTCTTGTCCTTCTACCCTTACATTAACAGTTGTCTTACATTTATGCCTTTTTTTTTTAAGCCACTCCTTTTTGGGGAAAAGGATGGTTACATATAATAACAATATAAATGAAAGAAAAAAGTTTTATATAAAATTTAAACTTGTTTAGGGGCGCCTGGGTGGCTCAGTCAGTTAAGTGTCTGCCTTTGGCTTAGGTCGTGATCCCAGGGTCCTGGGATGAAGCCTTGTGTTGGGTTCCCTGCTCAGCGGGGAGCTTCTCCCTCTTCCTCTGCACCTCCCCCCACCTGCTCGTGCTCTCTCTCAAAATCTTTAAAAAAAAATTTAAACTTGTTTATATGAAAAAGTAACCAAATGGAAAATACATTTGCTATGCAAATGACCAAAATGCTAATATCCTTATAACTAGATTCATTCATATTAAGAAAAACGTAACCCAATTTTAAAAGGCAAGACTATGAAAAGACACTTGCAGAAGAGCAAATTCAAAAGGCTAATATTCAACCTTGCTACTAACAAAGGACATACAACTGGGAATGAGATCTATACTGTCTCCACTACCTAATGGGCAAGGATTAAAAATAATTATAACAACACTGGCAAAGCTGCAGTGAGCCAAGCACACTCATACAATGCTTATGGTAATGTAAACTGGTAGGAACTTCCTGGAGGTATCTGACAATATGTATGAAAATATTCTTCTACTCATCAATTCAAAAAGGTAACTTAAAATGCAACACCACCAGAAGTCCTACTATCAATGAAACATCAGCATCAACTTATGTGCTCCAAAATACTACTGGGTAGGTTACTTACAAATACTATGATACAGCTAAATAAAATGAAATTCTGTAGTCATCAACAGTGTCTTAGTAACACAGAAAAATTCTTTTTAACAAATAAATAAAAGCAGGATACAAAACTGTGTTTATACAAAGACCTCAATTACATGTCAGATAAACCCATATACCTAAAGAATCAATCGTTATTAGCAGTCATGTTCTCTGATGACAATGTGTACAACTTTCTTTGAAATTATTATCCAAATTTTCTTTAGTAAACATGAAATAATTTTAAAGATGGAAAAAGCAAAGTTCGTGTATAGAATAATGTCACATACCTTGGTGGCTGCTACTGATGTGGCCAAGTTTGTAGTTTTGGAAGAGGATCCATTAGAACTTGCTGGTGGTGTCTGAGCCACTACAGATTTACTGTTTGTTCCATTAGCAGCACTGGCAGAGTGGGAGAAGGTAAATTTGAAACCACTAGATGATGTCCTTTTGGGAAGGTTTTCCTTGTCTTCACTTTCTTTTGCTAAAGTGAAAGTAAAATTTTTAATCTTTTTCAGTAAATATTCCTAATAAGCAAAGCAACTGAAAATAATAACTCAAAAACTTACAAAACACTGCCTTTCCTTCATAAGAGCGGAGAGTAGAGCATGATGTGTACAGTGGTTAAGTCTTTAATTAGCTGGAATCTTAGACACCTCAGGATTAGAAAGGACCTTAAGAATCATATACCAGAATCAGTCATCCTACACTAGAATTCTACACTGTTGTTATCTAGGATGCGTCAAGGATTCATTACCTGTCTGACTCTTTTATTGTCCCTCTGCAGCTTCCCTTCACTGAACTGAACCTATACTTCTATAGTCCTTGATAGACCTGATAATCTCTCCCATAAGTTAGTATTTCAAATGCCTAAAGACAATGATATGATCATGTCTATCAGTCTCATTTCCTGAATATTCCAGTTCCCTTAACTGTTTCTCTTACGACTTAGGTATCTACTATCCTTTCATATCTGGTTGCTACTTTTTTGTATATGATTCTTAAGTGGATGCAGTACTTCAAGTATGGCCTCACTGCCCCTTTTCATGGTAGTCAGGGCAGTGCCTGTAATGAATAAAGGTAGAAGAATTAGGCTACCAAAAGTTACCTATTCCTTAGAGGACATTTTGATGGGCTATTTGCTCTGCCAGGCTGAAGTAAATAAAACTTAAGGCATTAACAAGTACATAATGAGTGAGGCTAGGAACAAAAGTTGCACGAAAAATGTAATAAATCAATGAAACACTACCTAAGGAGAAATACTTTTAGAAAATCTCATTCAAAATCATAAATGCTTTTGCCTTTCAGGAAGTGCTTTTGCCTTTCAAAATGTAAATTTTTGGTAAACATTTATATGACATATGCAGAACAGTACTCCAATAATGGTGATTTTTCAGGCCATAGAATTAAAGTGATTAATTCTTTTGAAAGATAAGACCTCAGTTTTTAAACAAGTTTAACATATTTGAAAGATGGGAAATGTTACTTCTCTTGATAGTGTTTCTTTATGAAATTTTTATAATTTTAAAATTTCAAAGAGCAGAGTTACTTCTTTGAGCTTAGTTTCCTCACAGCTATAAAAGGCAGAGTGCTCTGGAAAGTTTCTATGGATCTATATGGTCTCTAGTATTATTGGAGATTTCAGTACAGAAATAAATCCAAGATTGTTCATAGAAGTCAATGTATGAGGGCGCCTGGGTGGCTCAGTTGGTTAGCGACTGCCTTCGGCTCAGGTCATGATCCTGGAGTCCCGGGATCGAGTCCCGCATCGGGCTCCCTGCTCAGCAGGGAGTCTGCTTCTCCCTTTGACCCTCCCCCCTCTCATGCTCTCTCTCTCTCATTCTCGCTCTCAAATAAATAAAATCTTTAAAAAAAAAAAGAAGTCAATGTATGAGTAGATAGTGTAATTCTAAACAGCAAATGAAGAGTATCACAAAATGGCAAGTTTCAAGAAAAACAGTTTAAACACGAAAATAACTCCCAGGTTTGGAAAAAGATGTGGAAATTTTAAAAAGGTCCTGATTCACTATAAAATTCATGTCTTTCATGCTTTATATACTATGACCAAACCTTCACAAGCAACTGATAATTTCTGTACCTAATAAATGATACATTATTAAAAAATTCAAAATTTTAATACCTTTTTTAGTCTCCATAAATTTTTCGTAAGTATCTGGAAAATCATCTTCTGGCTTAGATTTTTCTACTGGTGCCACAACTGCTTTTCCTTCCTCCTCTTCATCTTCATTAAACCACATTTCTTCATCCTCTTCCAAGGCTTTTGCATCTCTGCGAAATCTGTTACTACGCAATATAGATGGTACACTGTAAGAAACATATCACAAACACTGAGTAATGATTTAAAGTTTGTGACCAGATTAAATTTGAGAATAAATATGTATAACCAAGAGGGGCTAAAGTAATTTTAACTACGTATAATTTACATCATAATCACCTCAACAGTGATACAAGATGTAACCAGAGAATACTACAAAATATTGCAAATTAAACTAAAAATTTATCTTGAGTTATGATATGGAGCAGTCATTTTTCACATAAAAGATTCCGGGTAGGGAAAAAAACCTACCCTTCTACACAACCCTGTACTATCTAATGATGGAAAGAATACTTCTGGGTAAATTTCAGATGTCAAATCCAAACAAAAAGTTTTGGATATAATTTTATAGACTATAAATGCAATATATTTAAACAATACCTGTTCAGTTTCTGATTTTGTCTGTCCTTTTCTTGCTCATATTTAGTCTTCAATCCTTTGAATGTCTGAACATATTCAATTGATTCAAGTGCTTTATAAAAGTTTTCAACTATATGTGCAGTAAGAGACTTGATATCTTCCTGTTTAAGGACAAAATTTACAATTCAAATATAATTCAATGACTGTTAGAAGAACTTTTTTATAGTTCCAAAGCTGATCAAAAAAGGTTTTTCAAAATCACATTACAAAAATAAATGTCCTAGTTTTTTACACATGAGCCAGGCCTCCAGAGAAAACTTGGAATAAAAAAGGAGCCCTTTTGGGGGGCTACAAAACATTTGAAAGTGACTAGATTTAGTTTATGTCTTCTGTTTATTTTTTGCATCTACATAGCACTTTACAATTTAAAAAGTGCTTTAACATATAATTTCACTTGATCCTCCTAACAAGTTCTATGAAATAGGTTTTATTACCCCCATTTTACAGAAAAGGAAAATTGAAGATCTGAGAGGTTGAATGACCTGATGAAGAGCACAGAGCTAGTTAGAAGGCAGATGTTGAAATTACATTTTTAACAAATATTAGGTGCTACTTAATGACTCCTTATTTAACTGGTATCAAAATGGGATAAGCCTTACCTAAATAATAAACACAGACTCCTTTGACTATATTACATATACAGATCTGATAAACTATTAACTTAAATTCCACCTACTTCCACAGTCTTCCAATGGTATAATTTTTGTGAAACTGACAATAGTAACTTTTTAAATTAAATTCTTTTAAATTCTTTTAAATTCTAAATGAACCATTCTAAATAATCATTGCAAATGCCTGGGTGCGAAGTACGTTCATTATTAATAATAACTGAAGCTGTGATTCAGGAATTTAATATTAGTAAGAAATATACATGCCACTTCTTTAAAAGATACACCATAATCTGCTTCTTTTAAGGATTTTAAAGTCTTTAAACTAGTTTCTTTTGAAATCTCAAATAATATGCAAAGAAGAAACATCAGAAACCCAGGTAAAACGGTTCTGTGCTGTATACTGAACAAATAGATGAGTTAAGTTTTGGGGTGCCTGGGTGACTCTTGGTTTTGGCTCAGGTCATGATCTTGGGGTCCTGAGATCAACAGCAGGGAGTCTGCTTGAGATTCTCTTGCTCTGCCCCTGCCCCCACTTGTATTCCCTCTCTCAAATAAATAAATCTTAAAAAAAAAAAAAAGATGAGTTAAGTTTTGGGATTCAATGTATTTATCAACCACTCAAAATTATTTTCTGAAAAACAAATTCAATCATAGGAATAGGGATGGGGTTATGAACCCTACAACTCATTTTATCAGTTTCTCACCAAAAATTTTAAGGAAAAAAAAATAGAAAAGTCAATCTCTGGTTCATTAGAACACTGCACTGTGAAACAGGGTTCAGATACTTGGTAAGGTAGTTAACTATGTTCCCTCTTTTCTAAGGCTAAAGGCAATACATCTATTCTCTTCATCCTTTTGAAAGCCATACTCTTGCCAAGTGACTACTACTAGAAAAGTAATCCAGTCAGGCAAATAATCTTTATATGAGAATAGCATGTCATGAGCAGAAATCTCATTTTTAAGAGCCAAAACTAGAAAATGAATTTCTAGCTTTACTTTCTTTTTTTTCAAATTCTAACCATGCAGCCATTTTCCCTGGTGGAATGATTTTAGTGTGTGGGAGGGGGTAAATTTATTGTACTGGTTCTACAGTTACCTATCTTAACCGTATTATTCACAGAGTTCTCTCCAGATCTTTTTATGACAGATCTTCTGTTGCCCAAAACTGAGCTATGACCTATCTTCAAGCTCTGACTGTGCTCCTAACCAAATGAACGCTCTACAATAAATCACTTACTTTGGGTGTCTGAAGCCCCTCATCTATAAAATAAGGCAGTTGGAGTGGTCCGCCTAATTTCCTGGTCTCTTCAACTTAAAATTCCATGATAATAGCCTACCTTTTATGCATCTTCTATTCAGTTTACCAAAGTAATTATTTTCAACCTTCCTACTTATCAGTACCCCTACAAAGATCATAGAGATCTCAAGAATGGCATACTTGACCAAAATGTCTACATATGCCAAATACAATCCTGAAACATCTGCCCAGTAAAAATGGAACTGAGAATAATACAGAGTAAACATGGGTTAAATTTCACAATTTAAAATACTAACATCACTAAACATATAACTATTTTATTTTACTAAGAATCCTTTAGCATAAACTTACCACTCTTATAAATTCAAATAACTCAATAACAGCTGAATTCAACAGATTGTACCGAGTTCCATTATCCAGAAGAGCATTTATAACTGGCTCAAAAAGATTTCCCTTTGTAATGTAACGATTATAGAATTCATCTTTAAGGCCAATTATCCGCCTCATAAAACGAAGAGCACCTAATTAAAAATAATACAGGGAACAAATCGATAATCTCATTAATAATAATTATTATACAGGTATTTTTACATAAAGTAATGTATATATTCTAAAATAAAAACTGTGCACTAAAAATAATTGGGTTTTGAGGAAAAACAGAGTTAGGGAAAGACCACTCAAATCTGTGTAACTCATGTAGCCAGAGCTAGCAAAAAAACCCCAGTTAACTGGCACTTGGGAGATAAAGTACCCAGGCAGGTAGCTCCACGGTATAAAGATTAAAAAACCCCCACAGAAACCATCAAGTGCCAATGCTGGCAGTACTCAGAGCAGCGCAGGTAGACATGCAGACGATGTAGTGATGGCAGCTCAGAACCAGTGCAGGGCTGTCTGTTGTGAAGGTGGGCATAGGAGTGCTGCAACCTACCCAAGGCTGCCTCCCCTCTCTGCAGGGGGAGCTCTGGAGGGAGGTACCACTTTTATTTTCTGAAAATAAAGCCAAAGGGGTTCCTGCTGCCAGCTTAACAGGAGAGCTGAAGTTCTTTTACTTTTTCTGAGGAAGGCTATAGTTCCACTCCCACTATTTCAGTTCTCTTTGCCTTGGAAAAACCATCTGTGAACCGACACTACCTATATATTGTAACATATACATTTTAACCCTATACGTTTTACCCCTTTTTTACCAATTGCTTATGAGCTCTTTTGCCTTTGGTAAACATGAACTGTGGCAGATCAGACTGTATTTGTAAAAGAACAATAGAGTAAAACAAGCAGTATAATGTGGCTTTTCATATTTTAAATACTGAAAAGAAATGTCTCCCATTTTAACCTACTATTCAGAGAGGCAAGTCATTAAAAGAAGTTGTGCCTGTCAAAAGAGGTTCCAAATATTATCTGAGAATAAAACTGAAATAGACCACATAAGGTATAAATGTATGATAACTGTAACACTAAACAAGTGTGAAGAAAAAAACCAAAAAAAAAAAAAAAGTGTGAAGAGAAGTGCTAGACTTAGAACATCACCTCTTTTTGTAGCAGGACAAGAAATAGTAATTTAAGATTAAAAAGACTGAGTATGTGCACAAGCAGGTACTCTCATACACTGCTGGTGAATGGGTGAATGATATGATATAGTTACAACTGCACTACTTATAATGATGGAAATCTTAAAGCAATGGAACCTTTAAATACTAGAGATTTGTTCAATTATGATATATCCACACAAATAGGACTACTCTGCAGTCATCCAAAAGAACTATTTACAGAAAGCCAGAAAAGAATACCTATCATGAGAACATCAATCCTTCCAAAATTAATATAAAAATCTAACATAATCTGGTCATGATGAACTGGATAAAATTATTAAGTTATTATAGAAGAACAAATGTCCAGGAACCTAGAAAATTATGAAAAGGAAAAGCGAGCAGGGACTTAGCAGATATTAAACTTTACAAGAGAGAGGCTATAGTGACCTAAGAATAAAGTTTCCTATTTATCTCATCTAATGAAACAATAGATTAGAAATAGAAATAATAGTTCAGAAACAAGACACAGATATATATGTCAGTTTACTATATAACCAGAGAAATTTTAATTCAGTAAGAAAAATATAGTTTATTTAATAAGGGGATCGGCACAACTTGCTATCCCTCTGGAAGAAAACAAAGCAAGACCCTCCAAACCACATATAAAAACAAACTTCAAATGTATTACATATATAAGTAAAAAATGAAATAATAAAAATATTAGAAGTAAATTGAGGAGAGTGTTTTATTTGTATAATCTTAGGACATAGGAGATGTTCCTAAGCAAGACAAAAACTCCAAAACTCATAAAAGGAAAATAGACATATTTTTCATCACAGAGAATCTTAAAACTGTTATATATTTAAAAAATACTATAAAGGCAAATGCAAAAGACAAATGAAACTGTGACATTTTTTCCCCAAAAATGTGATAATTAATATCTCTAATATAAAAAGAGCTCTAAGAAAAAGATAATAGGCAATTCACAACAGATAAAATTCAAAAGCCCTAAAACAGGAAAATATACTGCCAAGGAAAATGTAAATTGAAACATAAATGGAATACCACATTTTCCATCATCCTCTTCATAACATTTTAGGAATCAGTAACACAGTGCTGCAAGAGTGTCAAGTGCTTCAATCTTTTGGGAAAGTAATCTGGAGGCTGTATGTGAAACTCAAATTTAAAAGGATACATTACATTAAAACTATATAAACATTTTGTCCTGGCATTATGATTATTGGGAATCCATACTATGGAAATAAAGAAACCAGTACTTAAAAGATTTATATACTAAACTATTTACTACAGTGTTATTTGGAGGGGCAAAATACCCAAACAATCCATAATCTGTGCACTACAGAACAGCAGAATAAATTGTGGAAGAGCCACTCCATCAAGTGTTATTCAGCTACATTTAGTAAAAAAATTTAGTTGAGACCGTATTTGATCACCTAGGGTAAGAAGCTGAGAAGCATGTTAATATAATCCTGTTTTTATAAAAATAAAACAACCTGTAAAGTGTGAATTTTTATATAAATTTGTATGGCTGTGGAAAAAGGAACAGGAAAAATCGTGCGTGGAGTTAATGGTGGCTACTTTTAAGGCCTTAAAAATAAAAGAAGTAGTTGGGAGATTAATCTTTTCTCTATATGTTAAATGTTTCAATTTTAACCGTAATTTTTATGCTCAGAAAAAACACACAAAGCTCTTTTTATTTGGAGGGTGAAGGAGGTTACTTTATCTCTATTTGCAGGTAAAATTATGAAGAGAAAAGGAAACTTAACAGTTTGCCAAAAATCACACTGACGCAACTCCTGGCATTTAAGTTTGATCATTGTTGGTCCAAGTGGTATACTGAGGGGGACTACTCATAAGTTATTTTACAAGTTCAATAACCCAAATTACACAAAAACATTTGAAGGCCCATATCTCAAAGGTATAAAAAAAGTCACTATAAATGACAATTTGATGAAGCAGATGTGAAAGACAGCAGGACTTGTTCTATTAGTGAAATGTCGTCATCGTACGTGGTATTTTATCACAACAGTTAAACTAATTCAATCTAAATGTGAGTAATATGTGGGTGGGAAGCACCATGACCTATTCCTCTTGCCCTTTAAATAAAAGAAAACAAAAGATTAGTACTTCTCATAATCATCTCTTTGATAGCATATATACTGCTAAAAAATAAATCAATTCACATGGGTAACTTCGGGTTTTATCTCTATCGATTGTTCCTTAAAACACTTTACAAGAATGTTCTTTTTAAATTGTTACTTACACAAGGCCAGGAAAGTGTGCTTTGAATTCATCAAGACCAAGACTCTTCTTAGCAAGTCCTTGTTCATAATATAGTTTTTTATGTGATATGTGTGATGTTCCACACAAAATGTGAGTAGTTCTAAAATTAAGGCAAGCAGCTGTGCTGTTTGATAATTATCTACAAAGAAAGTCATCACATGAAAATAAAATAAATATTGTAATTCACCTAAATAAAGATAATAAAGTTTTATGTCCCATATTTTAGAGCAAAAGTAAATTTGTATTTCTTCCTCATTTTTATATCAAAGAAGCTACAGATTTTTACTTTTCCATTAGCAGACTCTTCAATACTATTCAGTTTTATTGATTAAATGGATACTTTCTAAGGTTCTTGTATAAAATATTTATTAGTGTTAAGAGGGAAAAAAGCCTAAATAAAAATCTACAAACATGGTAAGAAAACCCTCATTGCACTGAGATCTTCTTAGTAATATTTCCTTAGTATGTGCTACTTTCATTATAACATTAATGAACCTATTAAAGGGTCCACAGTAAAGAGTAAATACCTCAAGCTTTTTGCCTAACATTGTGCAACAAAATTTCCCAAGAAAAATTAATATGCTTTCTTTAAAGACATCTCTAAGGAAAGGACATTTTTGGCTATGTGAATATAAAGTGAAACATATTACATTGAGATTTTTTAACAATAATCTTTTTAACATCAAAGTGTAATACCCATGAAAGGCCTACTAAAATAAACTACCTTTTCTTCCCTCAAGAGGCCTTGGTGTATACATTAGTGAAATGACTTCAAATTGGTTCCTGAACATCAAAACTGAACGTATGTCAAAGGGCTTATGTCAATAATTACTGACATTTATTAAAAGTTTTAGGCAAAAAATATTAAACTGTGAGGAAATTTTGGAATCACTGCTTTAGAGAATAAATCTAGCCCGACTATTTTATTTTTCAAGAAGATTACACACATGAATATTTTGTGGAACTCTGATGCTATTGGGAATAAATCAGCATTCTTTTGATAACAGAAAAGCCATGAAAAATACAAAATATAGTTCTGGTATTTAAAAGATCCTTCCTAGGTTAAATGTAAGTAAAGAGTTTTACTTGCTTCAGACTAATCTGTATAACAGCCAACACCATAGCGAGTATTTGAACTAGTCCCTCACCATTAAAAAAAATAAACTCTCTTAATCCCTCAGTTCCCTAATTTTATTCACAAAAGATTTTGTAACAATGATCTACAGTCTTAATTAAATGTCTTGTTTTCACTTTCTCAAATTAGGACATGAAACTAATCATAGTATCTCTAACTAATCCAATCTCTGAAAGGTCTCCTCATTTGAAACTGGCTCTCCTAGACCATTGATGAACCTGATAGAAAAGACAGGATGCTAGCTGCACAGAGCATATTTTCTATATTCCCAGGCCCATACCTGGTATGCATGTTCCAAGTAGAAGCAACAGTGCTTACGGTCAGATTCATAAATAATACCTAAGCATAATGCTGTCACGAACACTAACACTAGTTCCTAGCTGGCCTTAGTTTACTAGGTTTCAAAAATAATGAACTAAAATCCTCAACTTTCAGAGGTCTTTTCAAAAAAAAAAAAATCAGAAAACTAGCTCTAAATTTACAGTAAAAAACAAAAACAAAATTCCAACCAGTTTTCCATTTTTTATATTAGAGAAAATGAAATGTTTTCCTTTACAATAGAGGAAAAGGTAAATTTTTAAAAAAAATATGCCTTTCCTAGCCTTGTATAAATAAATGCATTATACTCCGAGCAAAAAAAGCTTACAATTTATATTAGTTCATAAAATAAAAATTTATACTTACCAGGGCAAATCGTGCTGTTTTTGTTAGATCCAACTATATTATCTAATAAAAAAAGTTAAAGTCGGTTACTTCAGTAATAATTATTTCACATTTTCCTAGTCCTTTACAACATACAAAGGATGTCTTTGGTCATTATGTGATTTTACCTGCCTAATAACCGTTAAGAATTAGTTGTGAGGGGGGTGAAGGGATAGGCAAATGGATGAAGGGAGACACGGGATTCCAGTTATGGAATGTATGGTCACAGGGATTAAAGGCACAGCACAGGGCATATAGTCAGTGGTACTGTAACAGCATCACAGGGTGACCGATGGTAGCTACACTTGTGCTGAGCAGTGCTTAATGTATAGACTTGTCGAACTACTACACTGTCCACTGAAATTAGCATCGTGTGTCAACTAAGCTTCAATCAAAAAAATAGTTGTTTCAGTCAAATATTATACCTGTATCTGCAATCCTTTACAGAACTGGGTGCAGATGAGGAATTGTTAAAAGACAATAAATATTGTGATAAAAAAGTGAGGTTACAACCAGAGAAGACACATTTTCTTTTATTTCTTAGTCATCCCCCAACAATTAGGATAGGTCTCTATATAGGAATTTCTTAAACTCCAGAATAACATGTTAACAATGATAATTTATGCCTTGAAGTTTTAAAAAAATAAGGAGGACATTGTAAGTTCTGAATTTTAGGCACATATTTTAGAGCACATTTGCATAGGGAAAAACACAAATGTCTAAGGCAGCATCATGTGTAATAGCAAAAACTAGAAACTTAAATGTACATTAGAAGCAGGATGGCTAAATTATAACATACTCATAGAGAATATTATGCAAGATTTAAAAATAAATAAGAACTCCAGGTATCAATATGGATAGATTTTAAAAACGCATTATGTAAGGGAAAAAAATGCAGAATAATGTGTACAACAGAAATCAATTCATATCAAGCTTGGAAACATGAAAAATAATACATTATACTTGTCGTAATAATATAAACAGACATGGGGTGATAAACTTCAAATTCAGCATCCTTGAGAGACGGGGTGAAGTGAGAATGTGAAGGGGTGCACAGGAAACTAACAATATCTGTAATTTATTTTCTTTTCAAAAATATTTGAGAAAAAGATAGGGCAAGTTAGTTTTGATAAAGTCAACAGGAAATATATGGGTGTCTGTTATACAATTATCTAAATATTTCTGTACGCTGGAAGTGTTTTATTTTAAAATAAAGATTAAAAATGCATTTATTTTAATTTATACAAACGAAACCATTCTGTATGAAAACATTCTGCCAAATACTTTTTTACCCAACTTTATATTTTCAAGAACTAGTTGACAGATTAAAATTCAGTTGTTTTAACTGCTATATAGTATTCCACTATGACTATATCACGTGTTCTTTATTTTCTTATATATTCTTGTACCCTGTCATGTATATGCATAAATGTTCCCTAGGATATATTCAGAAATTGAATTGATGGTATTATGTAAGGTGTGCCCATTTTTACAACCTAATTAGTTTAGTAACCATTCTCTTTAATTGACTCCCTTTTAAAATGACTCATCAGATTAACCAACACTCTCAGAGAAAATCCCCCCATCCCGCCCATTTCTCATTTCACCAGTTGAGTTGTATGCTTATCAAAAAGTCCTTTGTTTACACTAATTATCATTGGCAGTATGATTACATACTTTAAATATCACAGACTGATGAAATATAAAAATGTAGTATCTATGGCTAAGTTGAATACAGTCTAGAAACCAGTGTTGGAGCTGATGAATTATGAATGTAGTTTATGCATGAAAGATGACATGGAAATACAATAAAAAAATACACTAAAAAAAAAAAGGCTTGCCCTTATACAAAATATCAGCAAATGAGTCAGCATTTAGAATGTTTACAGAGTTTATTTTTTTAAACTGTTCTCTGCTTTAACCAACTTTTTTGATTAACCCACCAACTTTTGATCCTTATGTTGTGAAATTAAAGAGCTTGTACTATATTGCCAAATTATTCTCCAAAATGATGGTTCCCTTGGATTTTCTAATGTAGGTAAAATACTTTTTACTCTTACCCCCTCTAGGTAATTAACAGTTTTGAGAATAATCCCCTTCTGTTAAAGTGTTTATATTTCTCTTCCTCAAGGTGTAATACTTTTTGCTACATTTTCTGTGTCATTCTCTAACATAGTCCCTCTGAAAAAAGGGAAATTATGATTTTGTACTGCAGTTTAAATTTTTCAGTAGTAATTTCCCTGTCATATAAAGCACTGAGTAGACAGCCTATTATACTACTTATTTCACTCTTTAAAAATGGAAATCATAAGCAGATAAGTAAGACACCCTACCCTTTTCACACTTGTCTTCTGAAGTATTGGTCAAAAGCGGTGCTGTGAGAACATGCATACAATGGTTGTAGAAGAAATTTAGAAATTCACTTTTTTCAGTTTTCTGAAACATACAGAATTAAAAAAATATTTTATTATCTTTTAATAAAACATCTTTAAGAATTAATGCAGGTCATATACAACAGATACTTTAAGATATCATGAGAGCACCAAAAAACTAGTTATATTCACCTTAATCGTATTTCTGCAGAACTGAAAAATCAAGTCTATTTCATATTACTAAATTAAAATGAAAAGATATAAAAAATTTTTCTGAAGAAAATTATTCAGAAGAATTTTTTTCTAATATGCTTGTGACCTGAAATGCAATGAAGAATCTATCAAACAATGTGAGAGGAGCAACTTAACTGATGAAAATTTGAAAGTCCATATCCACACATATTCAAATCTGAAACTCCATTCATAGCATATCCAAATATGAAAAAACACCAAATTGATTTATCAAGTCATCTGAAACAGGATAGAATTTAGATCTATTTTTTAAATTTTAAAAATTATTTGGAAATTTGGAAAACAGTCCCTTTTTTTGGCCACTATTTTTTATACAATGGTCTTGAAAAAACAAGTAATGATTTAAAAACAACATACATATTCTTCTTTAAATATGAGGGAGTTTCCCAGCATTTTGAGACAACAATTATTAATATTTTGGAATACTTCTATAAGTCTTTCTGAATGACTTCTTCTACTATGCAGAAGGATCATTCAGTATGTATTAATTTTTTTCATTATGATTAAAGAACATGTAACTTTATAAAATTTACCATCTTAGCCATTTTTACTGTTTACATTTCAGCAGTGTTACATATATGCATCCTGTTGTGTATTAATTTTTAAGAATGAGGCCAAGGGCCATAAATAGAAATGCTAACGTTTTTCACTAAGATTTTCGCAGATTACAATCTTGTATTTTGCCACAAATAACTGCTACAGGAACACCACAGCTACTTGGATACCAAATGTACAAATATTCAAGTATTCATTATTTTTAAAAATTGTACAAATTTACGGGACACCTGGGTGGCTCAGTCGTTAAGCGTCTGCCTTCGGCTCAGGTCATGATCCCAGGGTCCTGGGATCGAGCCTCGCATCAGGCTCCCTGCTCAGCGGGAAGCCTGCTTCTCCCTCTCCCACTCCCCCTGCTTGTGTTCCCTCTCTCGCTGTATCTCGGTCAAATAAGTAAATAAAATCTTTAAAATAAATAAATAAATAAATAAATAAATTAAATGTACACATTTAAAAAGATTTTATATTTACATGTAATTTATGTATTTATACATAATTTATCATATCTTAAATCCTCTAAAACTGACTAGACCAAAACATTTTTATCTCAGAATAACTTCTTACATTAGTTGTAGCCAGCATGTTCTCTGGATCAATTAAAGTACGAAGAAGTCCCATTAACTGAACAGCACCTCCTAGCTCAGGATCAGTATCACAGATCATTTGTTCAATTACTACATTAATGAGAAGGATATCCTGAAAGAAAATGCATTTCCATTAGAACTGGTTTGGATATAAAACAAATATACCAGCTGAAAGAACAAAATCAGAACCAAAGTATAAATGAACTTACTTAAACTTTCATGTTTCTAGTATTTTTCAAAGTTCTATAAACACACTAGAGTGAAAAAAGCCCACTAAAAAAAGCAGAGCACCCTACAGCTGCAACATGAATGTAGGGAAGTGGAAAACACAATCATTCACCAGTGATTCTTGTTCACTGGAGATTCTAACAGATTCTCATTCTAGGTTTCAGCCTCAGATACGAATTTACAAGTTGACTGAATAAGGAAGATCACACATCATCTGACCCTAAAACACAGATTATCTGAGCTTCAAATGAGAAAATCCTTTCCAGCAAAAAAGTGGGAAAACCCAGTATACAACTCTCCACAGGAGGCAAGTGCGTGCACACTGTGTTACATAATAATCTAATGCATCTAATCATAATAATCTAATGCATTAGGTTGCATGCTTTTGGGTCTTAACTAAGAAACTACAAAGCAGCTTGCAGACACAAAATTTGCCTTTTTGCCTGTATTTTTAAGAAATCTTGGAAACTGAAGTACAGTACAAAGTGATTGCTCACGTCAAAGAAAAAAGTTTTGACATCAACTCTGGTGATTTGAGAATATGTTTATTATTGGGGGAAGAAAGGTAGTAACTGAAGGAGATGAAATAAGGGAACTGCATGCAATGAAGATAAATTTCTTAAATTGGGAGAATTCTGTAAAGTAATAAAAATAAATCTTCGGTATAAAGCACTTAAAAAAAGATTTTATTTATTTATTTGTCAGAGGGAGAGAGAGAGAGAGTGTGCACTTGCACGAGCAGGGGGAGCAGACTCCCCGTTAAGCAGGGAGCCCGATGAGGTACTCCATCCCAGGATCCAGGGATCATGACCTGAGCAGAAGGCAGACAGAACTGACTAAGCCACGCAGGTGTCCCCACTATAAAGCACTTTTTGTTATTATTTTGTTGTGCTAGCCCCTCTAAACTTAACATACTGTGGTTTTCAAAAATATTTCCCTGTGAAGTTGTTTGTGTTCTTCAATTCCATTAAGAACCAACAAAAGCATGTCACAGTGACTTAGCTGCTTAAAATTAGAACCCTCACCCCTACCATGTTTCAAAATTTGAACACCAATGAATCAATTCTGTCATGGCATTAGAAACAGAATAAAATGTCTTCAAAGAGGAATTACGAATTATGAAATAAAATTCACAGAGCTAATTAATAAATCCAGACACAAGCCTCATTTCAATTAGAAGAAAAAGGTAGATTCCACATTAATCTGCTGTTCTTTTTTATTCTGGCATGATCAGCAAAGCTTAACTCATGAAAAATATTAAGATATTACAAAAAGGTGTCAGCCAATAAATTTTCTTCAGATCAGTGCTATGGCATTTACTTTACATTTATGTCAACATGTACTACTTACATTCTACCAGTTAATTTGCTGGTTTGGATATAAAACAGATATTTTGGAATATCTGATAATTTGCTGAATTATATATAATCATCTTTCATAAGTTCATTCATTTAAAACTAGGCACAAAAAATAATAAATGATGAATTTAGGTTACAGCTAAATAAAATCAGAGTAGCAAGAAATACTTCTTAAGGTATAGCTCACACACTGAAATGTCATTTCATTTCATTTCAAACTTTTTGCTCTGGTCTTCTCTTACAGGCAGTTTCTCATAAACCCTGCTTCCATCAGTATCAATGCCAAACTCAGTCCCATAATTTAGTGACTTGTGGAACTGAAAAAAGCTGATTTATGTATTTCATGGTGAAAGAGGTAAGAAAAGAACTGCCTTTCTCAAAGGCCTGTAAGACTTCCCTGCCAGAGAGAGGTATATGCACCATCGAATGCTATTCTTTCGAACATTTTAAGATTCTCCCAGGCTTCAGATAGGAAGGGCACAGAGGTCAGTAGATGAACTGACATCTCTAGGTTCAAAGATTATGCTTGAATATGGGGCACCTGGACGGCTCAGTCAGTTGAACGTCTGACTCTCGGTTTTGGCTCAGGTCATGATTTCAGGGTTGTGAGACTGAGCCCCCCAGCTGGGCTCTGCGCTCAGTGGGGAGTCTGCTTGAGATTCTCTCCCTCTCCTTCAGCCCCTCCCACAGCTTGGGCACGTGCTCTAATAAGTAAATAAATCTTAAAAAAAAAAAGAGATTATGCCTGGGTAACATCTTTAAAATCCTTAAGAAGCAAATAGTTTGGAAGCCTACTAAATAGTTGAGGAAGCTTAATTGTCAAGAAAGTTTTAAAATAAACAAAGGTCCATGACTTCAATCTTTAAGACCACCACTGGGCGAGAGAACTCACACCAATAGAAAGCAGACTATGAAGATTATATATATCCTTGGAGGAAAGGCATCTTCTATTGCCCAACTCAGATGTGGCCACAGCTGATAATATCCTGAGAGAAGAAAGGCTTTGGAAAAAAATAGGCAAGGAGGAATTCTTTAGAGACAGCTGGTTTCGTTAATCAAGGACCTCTTGGGACAGAGTCTAAGCTACTGCTATTCAACAAATACCTGATGGAACAGTGCATCATAGTTATGAACGAATGACTGCTATATGTATGCTCTCCCTTTTCCCAAACAAAAGCAGTTTCGTTGTGATGTTGGGGGCAGATAAATTATCTTTTTGTTTATAGGTCACCGAAACACTAGGAGTCTTATCTGGACTTGAAAAGGACTACCTAATACTCTAAATATTCTGGATGTGGCACTGGATACAAAAGGGAATGGAAACTTGATTTATTTCCCTTGAGGGAAAGGTGAGCGAGGAAAGAAAAATATGTATGAAAGTTAGGTAGCTAGAGAGGGGGACTGTGTGGCTGATACTACAAGATGCCAACTTAGTCTCTATTTTCTTTGTTTTGCTAGCAGAGCCCAAATTTTGTTCAGAGGCAATGTACTCAGCTAAAACACAATTTCCCAGCATCCTTCACTGCTAAGGGTAACCTACTTTTGGCCAAAGAAATCCAAGTAGAAATTGCTAAGTGGAACCTCCAGGAAAGTGCTTTAAAATAAAACACAAAAGCTTTCTAGCCTTCTCCATTATTTTGCTGCCTTTCTTATTCCTGGAGGTGGAAGAGCAATCTTGCAACCTCAAAGTAACAGACATTAAAACCAGAAAATGAGGATGACTGACTCAAAAGATGAAAGTCTGTTGGCATCATGAGCTGTATAGTTAAGGGCATCATGGAGCTGCTTCACGACTCGTGACATGAATAAAACTTTCATTAAGTAAAACTGTTCTAAGTTGGTTTTTCTTTTTTTGTGTGACAAAAGCACTTAACATAATACCTACTTTCTCAGCAAAATTTTAAGTATATAATATTCTTGACTATAGGTACTATGCTGTACAGTAGATCTCTAGAACTTACTCATCCTGTATAACTGAAACTCTATACCCTTTGTCTAATATCTTCCCCATTTCCCCCATTCCCCATCCCCTGGCAAGTACCATTATTCTCTCTGATTCTATGAGTCTGTATTACTCATATAAGAAGTATCACATATTTTTCCTTCTGTGTCTGGCTTAGTTCACTTGGCAAATTGTCCTCTAGGTTCATCGAAGTTGTAAAAAATGGCAGGACTTCCTTTCATTAAGGCTGAATAATGTTCCACTGTACATATATGACAAATTTATCCATTCATCTGCAGATGGACACTGAGGTTGCTCAGATGTCTTGACTATTGTGAATGCTGCTGCAATGAACATGGGAGGGCAGATATCTCTTTAAGATCTTTTGGATTTATGGACAGAAGCAAGATTGCTGGATCATATGGTAGTCTAATTTTTAGAGGAACTTCCATCTGTTTTCCATGATGGCTGCTCCAATATATCCCCATCATCAGTGTACAAGGACTCTTCTTTTCTCCACATCCTTGTCAAGACTTGTCATCTTTATTTTTTTATATTAGCCATACTTTTTTTTTTGAGGACATGTTCCACATTTTATTTACATTTTAAGACTAACTTTAATCTCAAAATTACATATCCATTTACCTATTTCCTTTCTGCTGATTGCACTTAAATGCATGGTTTGTCAAAGACTGTAAACAAATATTTACCATGTTTGTTACATGTAACACGCAGGAACAGCTTTTAACAGAAATTCATCGACCTCCCCCACAACACTTTTTTATTATAAATACAGTTATAGAAATAATCCTGGACATGTTTTTGATACTACTATAGTCAGCACCCATACCACTTCAAAAATTAACACAATTTGTGAAAATATTCATTGTACCTGCTACTTCAGACAGTTTCACCTGAAGCTCTTTCACTAAGCAAGATGGATAAAGCATGCCATTTCTGTTTTTCCTTCTTGAGATTTTTTACTTTTCAGAAACACACATGCTTCCACAGCATGACTCTTCTCTCCATGCTTTCACCTTGTAAACCTGAATTCTATTTTGGATACTCGAGGTTTATGTGTAAATGACAGTGCCATTGCCTACTACCTCTTGTCCTTCAAGTTCTTCCAACAAGCGAAAATTACAAGTAACTTTAACTCCTGTGGAGACTACCTTCTCCTACAACCCTGATACTAGCCATCCTAATAGATCTGTGTGTACTTAGGAGAAATGTCTGTTCAGTCCCTTTGCCCATTTTCAAATTGGTTTGTCTTTTTGCTACTGGGATGCAGGAATTCCTTACATATTTTGAATATTAATATCTCATCAGCAATTGCAAACAAACTCTACACTTTTACTTCCAACCTACATACTATGTTATTGATGTCAGAATTTATTTTATATTTATTTAAAAAAATTTTTTTAAAGATTTTATTTATCTGTCAGAGAGAGAGAGTGCACGAGCAGGGGGAGCAGTGGACAGAGGAAGAAGCAGGCTCCCCATTGAACAAGGAGCCCGATGCGGGACTCGATCCCAGGACTCGGGGATCATGACCCAAGCCGAAGGCAGACGCTTAACCAACTG